TCGAGTATGTTCCGGAAGAACTGAAGACTAGAGCAAGGGAAGAGGACATCTAATTGTAAGAACAGCAACTAGTTACAAAAATGTGATAGGTGTTGGAGAAGTACCCAGAGGAGTTTCAAAAGATTGCTTCGAAAGACTTCATTGCGCGATGGAAGATTCCGGAATGCGCACCAGACGACAGAAAATTTTGGAGTAAATCCAAGATCAATGGAGAGGATCGCCAGAGAAAACATAGGAGCTATTTTTACTGCCTGCAGGAAGTTCACTTTGTAACGGACATCATGAAGGCGTGGAGATGGCAAACATTCAGGAAATCGCTCTATCTGTTCACGGCGGCAGGCGCTCGAGACGTCGTTCCCAATTATGAAAAAAAAAAAATTCCACTTGAACTAGTCGTCAACTCCCAAAACGAGGAAATCGTTACTGAAGAAAGACCACTGGCATGCTGACTCTACTACAAAGGCGGCTTCACGAAAAATTCGAGAGCTCCTTGAATTGTTATGGTTTTGGTATGGGGGGGGCGAGTCAACTTCAAAGAAGAAACCCTCCTTATTTTTGTCAGAGAAGGCACGGGTGTACGGACCATAGTGGAGAGAAAAGTGAACCCAGAGATGTGATCCCGAATTCCTGGGACAAACATTGTGTGACCCACATAGCCGCATTGGTCACAAGCGCGCTCTCGTAGTCGTAACAAATGTGTGAAACAAATAATGAATAATCTCTTAACGTTTCTTATGTTTTTGCAATGTCATGTTTGTAATGAGTAATGCTAACGGTAACTGATTTCTGGGCAGTTGGTGCGCCAGTAAGTTTGTCCAACCCCGTGCTTAATGCTGCATATTTCTTTCTCCTTCAGTGACCCAGAAGCTGCTTTATTCAGATTGGTTTTGTCATATATTTATATAGCTTAGAATTTTCGTGAAAACTCTCAGAGCGAGAGCTTTGGCATGACCATTTCTCGTGATAATACAACATCGAGACAATTTATGTTCTCATATTCTCTATAAATAATAAACAAGACTAAAGTCAACTACACATGGGCTTTCTTAGCTGTTGGCAGCTACAGATTCGGCCTGGCGGACCTTAATGGCAGACCGTAGTAGAGATCCCTATTTCCGCTCGCCGGAACTCCTCGTTGAGCTCGTTCTTCACGAATTAAAGGCAGAACTTGTGACGAACCAGTGAGAAGTTCGTTGGTATGGGGTCAGATATAGAAGTGAGCACGTCTATCGGTTCGCTTGTGGATAGGGAAAAAAGCGAGCGAAAGTATCGAAAAACCCAAAATCAGGCGTTCCCTGTGCTAAACGAATGAAAAAAAAATTCTGTGGTTCCTGAGACCAGAGAAGAGCGGCGAGAGAGCACGCGAACGAGTAAAATAAACAATATCTATCAACGTGGGCGGAGCTAATGACTTCCTTACAGAGTCACTTGTACAACCTTGTGCCTTACCGCCCCTCTCTTACAACTTTTTGCCTCGAAACAGGCACAAGTTCTGCCTCAAAGCCGGTACAAGGTTGCTCGTTGCGGATCAAACGGCTCTCCCAACGCCATATTTTCAGCTACTATACCTAGTCGCGGACCGTGTCTTTAAGTTCTTAGCAATTGGCGTCTACTTAGCATCTGATGACCGATCTTACTTATGGTAGCACCGATCGTCTTATCGAACTCCCACAGTAACCTCGTCGAGCGGAGGAGAGTAAACATCCCGGTCAATTTGGAAATAAGAGCTTTGGTCGTCTCCACACGCAATAAAACAAGCACAGGAGTATTTCACTAGGTCAAATACGATCCGTAAAGAGACCGGATACGACTCTCGCTGGGGATACCCAGCGTACGACGTACCCTGCCCATATAGAAAATCAAATAGTGTGCAAGAAAGAGACCAGAAATAAGCGAGAGCCGTGCAGAATGCCAACAACCGGAAGAAGAATCCTTTGAGGAAAATTCCGCGGAATTCTCGAAAACAGGGATTTTACACGTCTGGAATCATAGACAGGAAGAGAAAGATTTCACAGAATGACTTCAAATGTGCATTCAGAGGAGCAGCCTTTCTTGCGCCGTCCTTGCTAACAACATTTCTACAGTGGATGATTGCGAAATGTTCGCAGAAGGTTCAAAACAAGCCATCAGCAATGAAGTTATCTTCAGGCCCAATTGACTTAATACGGAACGACCCGAAGAAGTATAGACAGAGGGACTTCCTTGACATTCCTTCACACTCATCCCTTCCAAGACGAACCGTGCATTCGGTTCCAGGACTATGTTGGATTAGTTGTGTTCTAGAGGGGGAATTCGGAGAAGCGTCCACTGTTCTAGGCGACCATAGCTGTATGAAAACCTTAGGTAACTCTCGCTATTCTGAAGATTCGGTAGCTGTAAAACCATTCAGCAGTCTTGAGGAATGATCTCGAATAAACCAGCATGATTTTTACCCTTTAGCCTGACACATGACATATGACATTCACGTTAATGGCAAGAGAGTCACGGATATGGGGAGTGGGAGGAACGCGGCGTGGCCTTTTCGCCCGTCTGCACCTCTCCTCCGAACAAGTGATCCCCTGCTGAAGTTATGCCTTAGCATAAGGAGAAACCGCTAAGGAGCGAGCAGGAAAGGCATGGCCTCAGCTGCTATCGGGAGGTCACAGGGAGGTCTTCCCCAACCGTGAGTTCCCGACCTACTTCCGAAACTTCGTAACCACAGGGCTGCTGCAGTGTGCGCGAAAAAAGCTACATGACGGCAGCGCCGGTGTAGCCTGCGCATAGCGCTTCGCCCCACGAAAATGTGATTTTCGTGGGGCGATTTTCGTGTCTAGGAGTCAAACTACACCAGAAACGCCCAAACTAAGTGTAACTAAAGCTACAGAAGTGTCTGAACATTGCTCTAATAGTGAACAAACACTCATAGTACGACCAACTTTTGGATAAGATACTGGAGCCACTCTCCTTTGGAAAATTGTTTAACGCGAGGGACTGCTCTTTACCTTGGACACTTATGCCTGTTTTCATGCCTCAGCCCACTTCCATACGCCATGAGATAGAACCATTTGTTGAGCTATCTCATGTTCGACTCATTGAAAAACTATAAGATAAGCGATTATCAAGCTAGCATTTTGTAAATTCATCACCATGAAGAGACAAGGCCGAAGGAAGAAGTTCAGAAGAAGCGTGTGTCTTCCAAAAGTCTGACTCTGTCAGAGCCAGAGGAGCCCTGGATAATCCGGGTAGGCGGCCGCAAGCGCTTCGACGTAACCAAATTTCTGTAAAGAAACATATTTGCATCCCAAGCAAAATCAGAATCGCCGTATGCACAGAGCTTCGCACTCTTGTGAAATCGACATCTACTGAAGCGATGGGTGTACCGCAGTACTTTTTATTCCAAAAATACTGCGAAAAAAAATTGCTGATCGCATGATGGGGCCAGATCGAGCCTACAGAGGATGCAAAAAAACACTTTCTTTTCTCGACTTCCAAGGCGAAAGAAGTCACACTTTATTCACTTCCCAGATGCAACAACACATTGTACACGTCACGAAACTCCGCCACAGCCTTCTGGACGAACGCTATCGAGAGATTCTGCCACGCGACCGTGATTCGGTGCCTGAGTTCAGCGAGGTCGTTGATTTCTCCGCCACTGTAGACCACCCTGTTGAGCTCCGCCCGAGCCCGGTAATCGAGGGGGTTTAGGTCAGGTGACACATTTGTCTTCTTTAGGTACTCAACGCCCTTCGATTGCAATTAGGCGAGAGTTTTTCCATTCCATGTTTTGGCACCCATTCGAAGTTTCCACGATGATACAGGCGCCGACATGAAGGCAGGATATTCTCCTCGAGTTGGTCGATGTAACCGTCAGCGTTCACTTTCAGTCCGGGGTCCACGAAGAAAATATCGGTCTTCCCATTCCAGGAACTTCCGGTCCATACCACCAACCCGCGCCTTGGCGACTGCGGTGAAGATGATATCCTGGACCGTAGCGACGTTGTCGGAGCTGCTCGATGTTGGAGGTCTTCCAGATCAAGAGTGCTGGTCTCCAGGTAGCTTCCATGGGTGACTCCATACAGAAGTTTCGCAGCTGTTTGGAGGTGACGTGAATTCCATAGGCCTTCTCCAGTCAGGCTGCGATTGGAGATGACTTCATATTTTGGTGTACATGAAGGTGATGGACGAGGGCCTGCTCCTGCTTATCGAGGAACATCTTGGGTATCTTCTGCCCTGGTACTCGTCACGTCTTCTCTGGGCTGCGTATTCTTCACTGATATGTGCTACAAACTGTGTCTTTTTCTGCCCCAGACCCCCTCTGTAATTGACTGCTACTCCCACGCAAAGGACGGAGGTCAGATCTCCTCGAGTTAACCAATTCCATCACTTTCGGGAGCGGTAAATTGGTATTGGTCACGCGTGGGAGGACGAACAGTGACTCGAATATCAGCTGGCCAAAGCAAACCACAGTATATGCCAGATCGCATTCCAATGTTACTTGAGTCTGTATAAGAGGTGAGGTGACAGCTCATCTAAAGAGAACACTGGCCATTATACCTTCTCAACTGAGCATTGGCCATCATACCTTGCCTTTTATATGAGCTATTCATAGTCAAAAACCCGATAAAAGAACACTATTTGCAGTAGCCCTTTCGAAAAAAACCTATTTCATTTGTAGTTCTGTGGACAATACAATAGTAGAAAACTGAAACTCAGTTGATGCACACAAAACTAGAGATTTTTTTTAAATATACACCATGCGGCCTCAGAGGAAGGAAAAAGCAGTGACAAATGACGAATAGCATGCCAATACGAATCACTGTGAGGTTTTGGACTGACAAATATAAGTATCCAGTTAGCCAGTACATGATTACGCAGATTAATTATGCAATTAATATAAACGGCGGCTATTTTCGAGTGTGAGTACATTAAATGAATAGTTAGTACATGGTTGTTAACATTTACATCAATATTAATGAGAACCATGATTGGAAACTATTTTAGCAAGAATTTACGGACATTTCTTAATTCTCTTGATCAACTTTTGAGGCTTCACTGCTTGCTCGAGTGGAGACGCTGACGGATTCCTATAATAAATTGTGATAGTTTTGTGAATTCCGGAAAACTGTCCTCAAAAAAGATCGGTGATCTTGAGAGTACTGCTCTTTGCCCTCGAGCTACTATTTGGCGGCTTTCGCTATAGAGATGCGGGTCGGAGTTGATGAGGATTGCTGCTTAAAGGCAGTGGACACGATGCCTTGGAGATGGGCGTGGGGGGGGGGTGGTACAAACGCCATTGGTGGCAGTGCTAAGTGGGGTGCGGATAACTGTCCTCCTGCACCAATGACGATCGCAACAGCTGCCCACCTCCAGCAATCGTGCTCACTGCCTCCAATCGTAGACAATGAAAAACGAAAAGGTGGCTAAACCAACCCGTTCATGAGCGCTGTTTGGCCAGGGAGGGGCGGGAGGCGGGGGCATTCCGCATTTTCGCTAGTTCCTTTTTTCATGTTAACTTACAGGTTTTACTTTGGTAGGACCAGTAAACCCTTCTGAAGCTGCTAAGTGATACAAGTGAATCATGAGCAATAGGGGCTTACAGCTCTCCACAAGGTAGACCTGTACAAGCTTCGCTGAGTAACAGTTGGTGCCCCCACCAAGCCAATCTGCTCCCAAGAAGGCTTCCTTAGTACGGTAGTCTCAGCTTTTACAATGAGCCCCTTGGATGCCCCATCTTAATGGAATGGCGCCAACTCTTACTTTGTGAAACTACAATCATCATTCTCAATCTTGAGAATCCACCAAAACCTGGTAATTGATTTTCAAGAACATCCCACCTCTCCTATGTCTTCTAAGCGAATTTTCCGAGCAGAAGCTAGGGTATCTGGCGATAGACAGATGTTCTGAACCTCCAGCAAAGACTCACGAGTACGGAACGATTGTTTACATGGAGTCTAAATAATCACGTAGTGAACTCAGTAAATATGAACAAGCACGCTCAAATCCTAGAGATGGGAAGGGCGTGGCTGCGTACTTCATTCAAACACGGTCTAGGAGACGTCTTTCGTAGGGTATTTCCATCTGAGAAAACTGTCATCCTGGCTTGCGCTACACAAGGACATGATTAAAATTGCCTCAGAACTGTAATACCCCTCCAAAAGCGCAACCGACACCATGAAACGAGTATGCGGCCACGCCCCCTCGATCTCCGAGATATAGGGTGCAAATAGTGGAGCGACTGGAGGAACTCACCTGAACATCCAAACCTTTTGACGCTAGAATTTTCTCCTTTTTCGGGACATGAGGTATTTCTGAGTCTCTAGGAACCGGATAGTGCGACTTCTGAGGTGTTCTTCCTACAAGAAGTTATTGGCTGAGAGGATAGAAGTAGTAGGAACTATGTGCTTTCTCTTTACTGAACACTAAGGGAAGTACCTGTTTGATTTGGATTCAGATAATTTTCTTCCACCATTGCTAACATCTCTTTGTTCACTTCCCCAAGACGATCGCGCAAACCTTGGGCCACTGTATGGTCGACCGTCACCTGAAGAAGAAGTGTCTTTGGAAATCACATCTTCTCATCAAATATCTTAAATGCACCTGTTCATTTTGTTCATTTTTACGGAGGGTCTCATTCTCAGCGACGCCCTTTTCAATTGCTTCGCTTCTCTCACTTATGGAGTTCAACAAATCCGTCACATTAGAGCTTACGCATTTACTTCTTGCGG